TGTGTGTGTGTGTGTGTGTGTGTGTGTGTGTGTGTGTGTGCACGCACAATCAGTTATACTGAATTAATTTGTTTCTTATTGTTATTTTTTAGTTTTGAGATGCTTAGGAATTCCTACTCGTGTTGTCACAAACTTTAATTCTGCTCATGATACCAATGGGAATTTGACAATTGATAAAGTGTATGATGAATATGGGAATGAACTCCGTGGCCCAAAGGACAGCATCTGGTGAGTCAAATTAGTGTCAAAAATGCAAGTTTTAGCAAGTGAGAGGGAAAAAAACACACAGCAGGTTGGGTCAGAACCATTAAAGAGAAAGGACAGGTTAAATTTTCTCTTCAATGTCCACCTTTCGTCAGAAATGAAGATTCTGTTTTGACAGCAGCCAGACCAATCCAGGACTATCACTATTGCAGCAAATTTAATAGAATACTTTCCCCTGGTACTGGACCCTTCCAGTGGAGACATGCCAAAGGTGTGCAAAATCTGACCTACACTTTTAGATCTAAATCTGAAAAAGACGCCAGTTTGGGTCAAAGATACTCTACCCTAAAAACTACCCAATGGGGGAGAAACAGAATGAAAATCAGCCCTAATCATTGGACATTTGAAAAAAAAATGTCAATTGTTTTCTGGAGATGTACCTCTTGAAGTGGATGGCTGGGTCTATGGACTCTTCCTCCTGGAGAACGTAATTTTCTCATTTATTGACCTGTGAGGAACATGCCATATATTGAGATATATGCCAACTAGGTGTCATGGATGAGAAGTCCAGGAATGAATCTGTGCAGGACTGCCAAGCTGCAGAATTGGGAAAGAAGTTTCTCAAGAAGGAAGATTGCTTGAGCAATCATCAGTAAGGTCAGAGGACCAAATGAGAACTAATGCAGAAGCAAAATACTGGAATGCTGCAAATCTTCATTGTGCTGGTGAGCAGGACAATGGAGTAGCGACATTAGAATTGTTGTTTGACCACATCACCAGTTCCAGGGGGCAGGAGGAAGGGCAATAAAATATAATCACAGTTACAGGGAATATAATTGGTGACTTTGATTAGGATTTGCTGGGTGATGGAGAATTTCGAACAAGGAATTCTGAGAGATCTAGATAAGGAGGTAACAATTCATAAAGAAACCAACAGGAGGAAAGATGCACGGTAGATCAGAAAGGCTTGAAGGTGCTTCAGGGTTGCTTTAAGAAGTCTTAGATACAGATATAGGCTCTCTTTGAGGGATGTACTTAGAATGTCCATGGTTATGGAAACCAGGAAGGAATATTTGTGATCAGGGGTTAAATGCTGGAGTTACACAAACAGCAGGTAGACCCTGGAAAAGAGCTGAGGTTGGAGAGAGCATTGGCTGAGATGGGTCAGCAAAACAGTAAGGAAATTTAAGTTAGTTGAAATAAAAGTTGGAGATAATACCTGAATAGATAATCACTCTTTCATTGAATAAAGAATCCATGCATTTGTTAAATTTCTTGGAGGTAAAGATGGAAGATGTAAACATTTACAATGGCAATTGGAAGTGGAGAGAAATGTGTGGATATTTTCTCCCTCCAAAATTTCCATCACTTTCTTAGGGAGCAGAAATTGAGATACTTGAGTCGAGTATGGATTATTTCTCTTTTATAATTTTGTAAAAATATGTGCTAACGTACGAACAAGGAACAAATAGACCTCTCACACCTATTCGCCTGCTCCACCACTCAACAGATCATGGTTGATCTGATTTTAACCTCAACTCTACATTCTTTCATCCCCTGGTTAATCATTAATCATTCTGCATCCATTACCTTTTGATGCACTCGCAAATTTCTCAGAGAAAAATTGTTTCTTCTGTTTTAAATGGGTGCCATCATCTTTAAAACTATGACCCACAAGAGTTTCTCCCACAAGGGGAAACATTCTTTCAACATATACCCAGTCAAGATCTTCGGGATCTTATATGTCTCAATTAAGTCACCTCTGACTCTTCTAAACTCCAGAGGATATAGGACTTGCCTGTTTAGCTTTTCCTCCAAAGACAATTCACTTATTCCATGTATTAGTCAAATAAACCTTCATTGAACTGCTTCCAAAACATTAGTGTTATGGACCAGACCCAACCCCCTCAAAATATATTAAGAAGATAATCTGGACTCTAGCTTTTTATTATTTTAAAGGTAAGTGTAAACAGAGAAACATAAAGTGCTTTCTGAGAGAATTTTAGTAACTTAGAGATTTTTTTCACTGTTGCTGCATTTCAGGAACTTCCATGTCTGGATAGAAAGTTGGATGGCACGAAATGACCTGGTGGCAGGTTATGATGGTTGGCAGGTATTGGACCCAACCCCACAGGAGAAAAGTGAAGGTAAAGAGATAAATTCCATTATCATAAACCATTATCAAGTAATTCATAACTTTACTCATAGTCATGACTCAATTACTGCTGTACTGAAGGTAAATTATGTTTGAATTATGTATGAATATTTTATTGGCCTAAAATAGATTGGGCAGATTTCTGGGGGACAACTTATTCAGCATTATATCACCGCATCAGTTTCAGTGTTTTTGACCATGAGGTAATGGATCTGAAATATGATTGGCAAAGGAAGAAAATGTTTAAGAATAGAAGCTAGCAGCTACACTTTAACAAAAGTTTGTGATTTTTGACTTCAGATGACTGTAAGAACTTCCAAAAGGTTTTCTTAAACAATATTCCTCATAAGAGCCATTTAAATTTATTGAGTTTTGTTCTCAATTATTTCTTTGTCTTGTTTAAGGAATATATTGCTGTGGTCCAGCTCCTGTCAAAGCAATCAAAGAAGGGGCCGTGGATATGAAGTATGACATTCCCTTTGTCTTTGCTGAGGTCAATGCAGATCAAGTAACTTGGATCCAATTTAGAGATGGCAGAAAAGAAAAGGTACATGTTGAAACACAGCATGTGGGTAAGAATATCAGCACAAAGATGTGCGGCAGACCTGATCGTGAAGATATCACAGACAGTTACAAATACAGTGAGGGTAAGGAACGTTACTTTTTAAAATATGGTTTTTTTTATCTTTAGTATTGCTTTTAGTTGTATTTTGATGCCAGTTTTATCCTTCAATTTTATTGTACTGGATTTAAATAGCAGACCATATTTTATAGGTCAGTGTGAACCATTAGAATACGGTGCCTATACACCTGTACTTGAAGTAAGAAGTCATTCTTGTAAATGATCCAAATAGAATCAAAAAAAAGTACTTTTTTTTATCTGTTTCTTATTTAACCAACTTATTTTTCAATGTACTTAGGGTCCTCTCAAGAAAGAGCAATCGTTTCTGAAGCTAATCTCAGAAATAGACATATTGCTCAGCCCACAAAAAAATTGTTGGTCAATGTGAAGGCTGAGGAATCAATAAATAATGGATGTGACATTCAAGTCATCATAACCATCTCCAACTGCAGTGCAGCAACAATACACTGCAATCTTAACTTCAATGCTCAAATAATGAATTATAATGGAAAACCACAGCATCAAATTACAAGGAAGCATTTTGATAACATTGCTGTTCGAGGCAATGCAGGTAATCAAAGAGTTATTGGTCTTGTATCTAGCTTTGCTTTGTAACAGCTAACCACCTGTAATTTAATCATAAAAAAATTAGAAAGTGGTGGAAATACTCAGCAGGGTCAGGCAGCATCTGTAGAAAGAAAAATAGTTAATATTTCAATTCTGTGACTTTTCATCATAATTTGTTCATATCTGCCACCATACCAAAAACATTTAACTGAATGTTTACTGATGCAATCCATTTAAACTGTCAGGCTTACTAAATGATATAATTTAGTTCCCAGTTATGGCAACTTTAAGAGGAATATGAGATTAAATATCAAAAGTCAATATTTTTGAGCTTCCCTGTCATTCTCTATCCATTATACTTCAATCATTATATTTAGTTTTTATGTATATGTCTGTCACACTTTTACCTGGTTGGTTTAAATCTCATATTTGCCTCCTTATAATTGGGTGGTGTCTATCATATTCTTCATTACCTTTCCCAACATGCATACACAGACAGATCACTTTCAATCCAGATTGTTATGACAAATTCTTCCTATTTCACTTTCAGGGGGTGACAGGAGTCTTCATGTATGTTCCCATAATCCAAGATGGGAAATCTAGGGATCCATGAAATAGCTTTCTTTTTCTCAAAGTAACATAAACCAGAAACCTTAAGCTTTTATTCAATGGAAATAGTTAAAAAATATTGGGATTATTTAATCATGTAATTTCTATCTATTGAAGGATTCATACGTTTATTTATGATATGAAAAACAGACTTCTTCAAATATTCAACCAAACTCACTTTTCTGCAATGGAAATATCTGTAATAAGCTTTTCCAGGAACAATAGAAATATTCATCATAGATATCAAGATTAGACATTTATAAAGCATATTAGGACTTCCTGAATGAAAGCAGACAAAGTAATTACAAAGATTTCCAGAAAAACTATTTATAAGATAATCAAAGAAATAAGAATTTGTTTTATGTGTGTAAATTATCACTCCTTTTCTATACCTACTTTACCTCCCACGTTGCTGTATTTTTTTTTTTGCTTTTGTCACCTCCAATCTAAACTTTCTAGTCTATTCCATTTTGCTACACCCTATCCTGCTTCCAAATCTCCACCTACCAAAAAACTGCAACTTATCCAGTTGTCCACCACTCACAACCTCTTCTGTTGTAAATCCACTTCCTCTATCATTCCAAACTTTGGTAATTACTATTTCTTAGTGCATAGATTTCAAATTCCTTGTTTACATAACCCTCTACATTTTTACTCCACCATATCTTGGCAATATTCTCCAATTTACAACGTTGGCTCACATTTTCAGTATTTTAGACTGAAAACTCCCTTCTTGCTCTCACCCTCAGGCCCAACCATCCCTCCCTTTTATGTGGTAAGGTGAAGCAATGGCCTGGTGGTGCTATCACTAGATTATTAATCTATAGAGCCAGGTAATGTTTTGGGGGCCTGGGTTCAAATCCCACCATGGTGGGGTTTGAATTCAATTTTTAAAAAAAATCTGGAATTGAGTCTAATGATGACCGTAAATCAATTGCCAATTGTCAGAAAAAACAATCTCATTCACTAATGAACCCCTTTAGGGAAGAAAACTGCCATCCTTACCTGGTCTACCCTACATGTGAGTTCTGACCTATGGCAAGGTGGTTGACTCTTAGTGGCAATTGGGGCAACAAATTCTGGCCTAGCTAGCGACACCCTCATCCCATGGACGAATTTTAAAAGATTGCTGTCCCAGGTGATAACACTTGCACACATCATGACGTTAACCTCCAGAATTTTATTCAAATCCCTTCTGTTTTACTATATTTCTCAGTTTCTTCCAATTTTGCATTAATTATCTCCCAATCTAATCTCAGTAGCATTTCTCCATGGTGGATTTTTACTTTTTATTGAAAACCTTTGACAATTTTTAATTTATTCCTTGTTTTCAAATTGTTTTTCAGTTGAGAATGTGGTTCTACAAGTGCTGTATTCAGACTATGCTGATTACCTTGATAATCACCATTTGATCAGGCTGACAGCTTTGGCAACTGATTTAGTCACACACGCAAGTGCATTGGATGTGAAAGATATTTCTGTGATCAATCCTGATATCCACATTAAGGTAATAATCTGAAGCAACACCATCTATAGCATCTTCATGATTGAAACCACAATTGAAATTTACATCTCAGGAGTTAACTCACATTTTACATTACATTTCAGTTGTCTCCCTACACTTACCTATTATTGTTGGACAGAATGGTTTTAAACCTCACCTTTATACTATTTCCTAATGTTTAATTGGATTATTTTCATTGATGACTTATTGGATAAAATTCAGCGCTTGGAGACAAACTGAGCTGATAAAAGATTTCCAATGGAACAGAAGCAGCTTGAGGAATTTCCCAGTCATCTGTTTCCTCCAATTCTCTCAGTTTCTTCTGGCACTGTTTTCTATCATTCCATGAAGTCAATGTGGCATTCTTTTCACTACTGAAATTGTCCTATCTGACTTTTTAAGCTGCAATCTTTTCCCTTCTACCCCCAGCTCACCACCACCACCATCACTTAGTTACAGGATCATAAAATTGTTACAGTACAAGATACCCTTCAGCCCATCGTGTCTGCACCAGTTCTTCAAACGAGCATCAATACACAGTGCCAATCTCTTGATTTATCCCCATCTCCCTGCATGCTATTTCTATCCAAATAATCATCCAATACCTTCTTGAAGGCCTCAACTGAACCTGACTCCACTACATTTCCAAGCTGTGCATTTGGTACCCTAACCCACTTGTTGAGTGAAAAGGGCTTTTCTCACATCACCTTTGCTTCTTTTGCACTCAGATGCTGAGAAGTTGTTCCCCACCATCATAATCTCAGAGTAAGGTGTTACTTACTTGAGACAGATGAGGAAGATTTATTTTCTCTTTCAAAAGGTAGTCAATCTGTGGAATTCTTTACTGCAGGGGGCTGTCAAGATCCTTTCTCCATTACTGCAAAACTCTTCAAGCATTTGCTGCAGACATGTTTGTTTTGGACTATAATGGGATTCAGGAACTCCCACATGCTGCAATAGTGACTCATAACCTGTTCTGGCATTCTTAATATAACTTAAATAACTTATGCAATTTTATATTATGTCAAATTTTTATTCATTTTGTTAACTTTATCACTTGTTGCTTTTCTATGTTGAACCTTAGGGATAGAATAAACTTTAGTCAATTATCAAGTATAAAATAATTTGTTTCTTTTCCTTTAGAAATTTATGAATGAATTCCAAAGGTTGACAAAATTTAGGAATAGCAAAAGCAAAGAAGCATATCTTTCCCTCTCTTCTAAACTCCCTTAATTTCTCAACTCCTGCACTCAATTGGAAATCAACACACACAAGTGTTAAGTCACACTAAGTTGGCTAGTTTTATATACTCCTTACACAAACGGCATAGCTGCTCACTGAATGGGGATCCAGCTTCAGGTGGTTCTCAATTAAGCAATTCTTTTCATTGGAAACCTTATTAAAACTTTACTTCAGCCTGGCAACTATGGAATTTAAACTGCAGATTAAGCTTAATGTGGAATACAAGCTACAAACTAAATTAAAATTGAACTAAATAAAAATTAAACATAAAAAATTAAACATGCATTCCGTCCAAGATATATTGTTGGCATTTAGGTAAGTGCTTTGAGTTCTCAATTTTATGACAAAACAATTCTAAATGCTCCCTTAAAGGGAGAAATTGAAGAGGAAAGCATTCACCTGAAAGACAGTTTGGTTAGGATGTTGTTTCATTTGAGATAATCAAAGGCTCAGCATCAACCACACCTGTTTAATAAATATGAGTTTGACTTATTTCAAATATTTGGAATAATAATGTTTAACCAAAGCATTAAACATTGATTTATTTCCTCAGCTCCTGGGTAATCCTGTTTTGAACAGACCGATGAAAGCAGAAATAAATTTTACGAACACTCTGAGAGTTCCATTGCTCCAATGTGTCTTCACCATAGAAGGGCCAGGCCTAATTAATGGCATGCATCAGACAAAGTAAGTGGAAAAATTTGTTTGCTGAAACATTTTAAAATTGTACAAAATAAAAATTTAGGCTTTCTTACCCAACTACGACACGCATTCACTCCTAAATATATTGTTGGCATATATGTAAGTGTGAAAACTAAGCTATAGCTAAAAGCTAAAAGCTAAAAGCTATAGCTAAAATAAATGCATACAATAAGACAAACAAATTATTATTTTTTGCCAAGTCAGCATTATTTGCATTCCACAGCACATTTGTACCTCCTTTCATGCCATAAATGTACGGATTTTAAAAAAGAAATTCCCTTCTCGGAAAATGACAGACTGTTTGATGCAGAAAAAATCCCAGGAAAATATCAGAGGCTAAAATTCAACTCCACTGGGACTATGTAGTGAGTGGTGAAAAAACAGAATATGGTTACAACAGACAGCCAATCCATTAGGACTGTTTTGAACCCGTCCCAAGGGTGTAAGGCAGGAAAATAGAGTTGAGGTCACAATCAGATCAGCCATGTTGTTTTTGAATGATGGAGCAGCCTTGAGACTCTGATGGGTTACTCCTGTTCTTAATTTATATGCTTGTAAAAGTTATGAAACTTGGAAATGCTAATATATACAAAGATCTTAGTGTATTCATACAAAGAATACTGAAAGTTTGTGTGCAGATACAGCAAGCAATTCAGAAAATGTAATGTTTAAGAGACTTAAGTATAGGAATAATGAAATGTAACTACAATTGTGCAGGGCTTTGTTGACACCATACCTGGAATTCTGTGCGTAATATCCATTTTCATGTTTGAGAAAGGATATACCTGAATTGGAAGACATTGCAGTAAAGCCTCACTAGATTGGTTTTTGGGCTGAGAAATTTGTCTGAGATGAGAGGCTGAGTCAATTTGGTCAATATTTTCTGGAGTTTAAAAGACTGAGTATGAGAGCTCACTGAAATATTCAAGATTAAGAAGGGGGTTGACAAAATAGACACTAAGACATTCCCTCAACTAGGGAATCTAAAATAAGGGGACACAGTTTCAGGAAAAAGGGACAAACATTTAGGTTAGCCTGAAATGTGGAGAAATATCTTCACTAAAATGGCTACGCATCTTTGGAATTATTTGATGTATTTAAGCTGATACTGAGAGATCTTTGGCCTCTCAGGAAATCAAAGGATATGCAAGTGGAGTTGATGTTCAAAATCAGCCATGATCATTTTGAATAGTGGAATAGAGACATCAGGTCATATGGTCTTCTATTGCTTCTACTCTAATGATTTTATATACCCTTGAGCCTTGTACTTTCTTGATTCCTAGGACAATGCCATTTTCAAGAAGAACTTGCATTTATATTGCTGTTTAATATCAAAAACTCTTCACAGAATTGCAAGGAGAAAATGATCCTGTACATAAGAAAGATATGTTAGATAGGACATCTAAAGACTCGACCAAAGAGACAGGTTTTAACAAGGAGCTAAAAAGAGAAAAAATGAAATGACGTGGGCTGGAAATGCCAAAATGCAAAGTCAAAAGGATTAAACGGAAAAACGGTGCAAAAAAGTTCAGAGAGAGCTGAAATGAAAATTCTAGAGGAAAGCTATTGTATGACTGAAGAAAGTTACAGAGAATGAAGAATAAAGAAGTAGGATCAAGAACAATGTAGGTTAGTGACGCCACAGGTAGTGATGAAGCTGAACTTGGTGGGAATCCAAGCAAAAGATTTATGGAGTATGCTTCTAGTCAGAAAAGCATTGGCAAATTAAAGTGTGGAGATTGGGAAAAGACATGCAATGGTACTGAGCTGGTACCAAGCTCGACTAATGATCTTTGTGGTGGGGACGATACGTGAATGGCGATATATTTCCAAGTGAGGATGGTGTGTGATTTTGAGGGATGACGTTCCCATGCAGTTATTAATCTTGGCCAACTGATTGCTAGAAGTAGTGGGAACTGCCGATGCTGGAGAATCTGAGATAACAAGGTGTAGAGCTGGATGAACACAGCAGGCCAAGCAGCATCAGAGGAGCAGGAAGGCTGACGTTTCGGGTCTGGATCCTTCTTCAGAAATG